CAAAGGGAAAGCTAGTTTTTAGTGTTTCCAACTCTTTATTTGCTTATTTAGTAGGTGTGGGCGGTGCACGTGGGGAGGTCAGAGGACAGTCTGAAGAATTTATTTTAGCAGTGTTAAGGCGAATATTAACCTCACTCCAGGGAAGCCCATGCCCAGGAGTAGTTGTTCAATGCAACATGAACTTGATGGTATTTTAGTGGATTTTTTATTTGGCATTTTTTTGTCTTATTGGTGTTTTGTTTATTTTGATTTTCATTTTTGTGGGATTCGTGTGTGTGTGTGTGTTTCTTGTTTTTTTTTTTTTTGTTTCTTGTTTTCTTTGAAAGAGAGAGAAAAAAAAGTTGGGTGGATGGTAAGAATCTGTGGAAGGAAAAGCAAGATAAAAATACATTGTATAAAATTATGTCAATTAAAAAGTTAAGTAAAAAAGAGAACACTGAGAACTGAAGGATTAAATGAGGATGTGGCCATAGGAATAGGAAGAAGAGGGATCAATAGGTGAATTAGCTAAAAAAAAAAAAAAAAACTTATGAAAACCTGCTAGTTAGTAAGCTAGTTTATGAAAACCTGCTAGTTAGTAAGCTAGTTTCAAAATATAATAACTCTTGTGGAATAGTCCTTTACACTGTGTGAAGATGTGCCAACGTGACTGGTTTAATAAAGAGCTGAATGGCCAATAACTAGGCAGGAAGAGTTGGGCAGGATTTCTGGGGACCGAGAGATTCAGGGAAGAAGAAAGGTGGATTCACCAGACACAGAGGAAGCAGAACACGTAGGAGGAGAGGTAAAAGCCATGAGCCACGTGGCAGCATGTAGATTAACAAATATGGGTTAATTTAAGTTTAAGAGCTAGTGGGACAAGCCTAAGCTGAGGTCAAGCTTTCATAACTGGTAAGTCTCCATGTTGTTTTTGTGAGCTGTCAGCCCAAAAGAAAAATCTGTCTCCATATGGCACCCAGTGTGAGGGCTCAAATATCCAAACACAGGGCCTGAGAAAGCTAAGAACAGCTCTGGACAAGGAGCAGATGTGGCTTTCTAGTCCTGCAGTCTCTCAGACAGGCCAGTGCTCAGCATAGAGAGGCACAGCTACTGGCTGCTGCCTGAAGGCTAGAGCCACCGCCAGTGCCATGTGTCAGAGCCATGCACTAAGCTGAGCTAGCAGAGAATGCTGCAGGTGCCCACTAAAGACAGAGACCTCTAAACAGGTTACAGTGTCAGGCTTCAAAAGAAAAGAAAATGGGTGTAGACAGTCATAAAAAGTTTATAAATAATAAAACTAAGCCTTTAAAGAGAATAAAATGATATAAAAAATTTTAGTCATGTAAAGATGAAAAATACACAGGGTGTCTGGATCCTATATGCTGTCTTGTTGACTTGAAATTTTTTATTATGATAGCGAACAACAGCTGCTGAGAGACATGGGATTGTAAGAGGGACTGCTGAATCAGCCTAGATACTTTAGGAATGCTTTAAGATGGAAGTCAAAAATGTGTTGCTCTAGCCGGGCGGTGGTGGCGCACGCCTTTAATCCCAGCACTCGGGAGGCAGAGGCAGGCGGATCTCTGGGAGTTCGAGGCCAGCCAGGTCTACAAGAGCTAGTTCCGGGACAGGCACCAAAGCTACAGAGAAACCCTGTCTCGAAAAACCAAAAAAAAAAAAAAAAAAAAGTGTTGCTTTGAAAAAGAGGTTATGCTTTTGTTTCCAAAGAAAATGAAAGGCTGTATATGTTATATTTTAACATAAGGCTTGTGTACAGTCAGTACTTGTGTTAATGCAGATGTGCATGTTACTTATTCATGTGTTTTCAGAGCAAAAGGAACAGATACCAAAGAAAACAGGCGGCCCAGGGATCCAGCCTCTCTGAGTGCCTCTGTTGCAGTTTCCTCAGAGTTCTACATCCAGAACAGCTTCAAGGCTGCTGGCTCAGATGGTTCAGCCTCACAAATTATTGTAGCCAGGACTACAGCTATGCTCCCATTGCACAGAGACTGGACAACAAATGTTATGACTAGTTTTCCCAGGACTTGACTATTATCCCAAATTTCTTAGGGTCTCCTAAAGATGCTGTTGCCCCCAGACAACAAGAAGCAGTTTAGAGAAAACATGGTGCCCACATTCCAAAGCAGCAGGATGGGTGGTTTTTGGTCATTTGGTGGGTTAAGGATGCTTGTCATCATTTAGGAGAGTTGGTTATAAAGTTGTTATTGGTAATTGTCAGGAAAAATGCTGAACAAAGGAGATTAGATTCAGGGATCTCTTCCTGAGGGAAAAATGGGGATATAGTTATAGAAATGATGGAATAAAAGGGTAGATGATTGAGTCTGCTTTTGAACAACCACTAGCCTCAAATATTTTACATTGATATATGTGGAGTTTTGTATATTGATACAAATCTAAGGTTATTTTTGTTATACTGCATATATGTTACTATTCTTGTTTATGGTATTATACCTATACAGCTCTTTTTTTTTTTTTTGAGACAGGGTTTCTCTGTGTTGTTTTGGAGCCTGTCCTGGAACTAGCTCTTGTAGACAAGGCTGGCCTTGAACTCACAGAGATCTGCCTGCTTCTGTCTCTTAAGTGCTGGGATTAAAGGTGTGTGTCACCACAGCCTGGCTAGCAGCTCATTTTAAAATGTAATATAAAGTTTTAGTACTTGAAAGCTATTTAGGATAATAAAGAAATATAGGTTAATAGTCATCTGTTAACAATCAGACTTACAGTCATTTTAGGTATGTTTTCAAGGTCATACAGAGATATATTTTAGATATATAGGTGGTCTTCAAACATTTTAAAAACTTACAAAACAGGGCATTTAAAATGCTTTAATAACATATGGCTTTTCATGACAATGAGACATGTCTGTTCCTGGCAGCACCATTCTACTTCAAAAAAAGAGGGTGGGCATCAAAGACCCTCCATATGGAGCTTGCTTTCTTTGTTGCAAAAGCTAGCCATTTGGGCAAAAAGTTGCCCTTGACTGCTGACCATATGCTGTCCAAATTGGGCAAACAAGACACAAGAAAGCTACTATCATACTGCCAAGACAGGGTAGGACAGTCCTTCAAAATTCTTAATATCACAGAAAGTCTGTCAGATATTCTAGACCTATAGGCTGAAGATGGATGACCCAACATTGCAAAGAAAACCTGTGACTGTCTAAGCAGCCAACTGCTTCTGTCATTTCTATAGTTTTGGAAACTGTTCACTCTGCATTTACTATATACTCAGGTAATATTATATCCTTCTTGGGTCTCTGATGGAGTTGAAGATGAGATAATTAAAGTTTTATAGTTTTCCTTGCTACCAAATTTAAAAAAAACTCACAAAAGAAGTAAAATATATATATAAGATAGCTTTAGATGGTAATACAAATTATGATAGAAAATGGTTTAGGTATAAAACTTTAAATTCATCAAAATAATATAGATAATAGAGTATTTTCTCCAAATATGCCAAATACAAATAGACTAGACATTGTGAATGTAATTCTTACCTGATAATTGTTCTTATTGTTTAGTTTTATTATGTTAGTGTTAAAACATTTCCTTTTTATTTAGACAAAAAAGGGGGAAATGTAGAATATCCCTTTATACTGTGTGAAGATGTGTTACTGTGGTTGGTTTAATAAAGAGCTGAATGGCTAATAGCTAGGCAGGAAGAGATTAGGCAGGACTTCTGGAGACAAAGAGGACTCCAGGAAGAAGAAAAGCAGAGTTGCCAGCTGGATGCAGAGGAAGTAGGACATATAGGAAGAGCTATAAGCCATGTGACAGCATGTAGATTAAATGGGTTAAGTTATAAGCTAGTGGACAAGCCTAAGCTAAGACCAAGTTTTCATAATTAATAATAAGCCTCAATATCATTTTTTTGTGAGCTGTTGGCCCAAAAGAAAAATGCATCTACATATAACTTTTAAAAAGTTTGTTTTGAATGACATTGCCCTCCATGGCTGGACAATGTTGCTTCCAAGACACATGTGTTATTAAATAAAAATCACATTATAAGACATGAAAGAAAAAGTCTGAAACTGGAGAGAATGCTCAGTGGTTACTAAAGTTTGATGCTCCTGCAGAAGACCAGAGTTCAGTTCCCATCACCCCTATTGGAGGCTCACAACCACCTATTTCTCTAGCTGCAGGGGATCCAACAACTTCTTGATACCTGCTTTTATACACAGAGGCATAGACATAAATAAAAATAAATATAAAATAAAAAGAAAGACAAACTAAAGATTGGAAAGATTTAATTCTTAAAGTGCATGCATCAATGCATTATAATAACAAATAATAAATAATTTGGCTTAATTCATATAAAGGAAAATTATTCAGAAAAGCATTTGGAAGTTGTAACTGGCATCTACACAGTTTTATAGTTAAAATTGCTTTTATAATTATTATTTCATTTCAACCTAGACCAGTCAAATACACAGAAATACCCAATACTTTGAAATGGAACTGAGGGAATTTATAACGAAATTTCTAAATTTTAAATTGTAAAATATTTCAGTTGGTACAGAATTTCACCAAGTATATGGAATTTGAAATGACTGAAGTGACAGAGATAAATGCCTTGTATACTTTGTTACTGTTTGATCCTGTGATGCTTCAGTCTGCATAATCACGTGACGTCGTGGTAAAGAACGGGGCTGGGGTGACTAAGGGTCACACAGAATAAACGTATGATCAAGCATAAATATAGCATTAAAGCAAATAGGCAAACCAGATCACAGAATTTCTCATTTTTTTAATGCTAAATGGATTGCCTGCTAGAAATCTCTTTAGATCTCTTAGTTAAAAATTCTCTTTAATTAATTGGCACAGAAGGAATAGTCATGAGGCTGCCTCAGAGGTGTTTGGAGAGGGTGAGGAAACCCATCTTTACATATCGCCTAAATTACATCTAGAAGATCCTGTCAGGATCACATATTTTTTTAAAATACCAAATGCATCCTTGCTCCTTTAGACTCTGGGGTGTCAGGAGAAAGGCTGCGTCTGTACCTTCGGGCTTCATGTCATCCTGTGTCTCTTCCATCGCCTGGCTGCTGGTCTCTGAAGCAGGAACACTTTGTGTGTTTGGTGACATCTTTGAAAGGAGAAAAAAACACCCATTTCAAAATGAATGGCTTTTCCTTAAAGCTGCTTCAGGTTTCGATTAAAAGAGAGTTAATTACTTTGTAGAGTTACTAGCCATTCCTACTTACTTTTCTAGGATTTAGCATTGCGTGTTGGAGGTAAACCACACGTCTGTTTCCCGCATTCACATTTTCAGATGTGTTGACTACTCTATCTCCTTATTGACAATGGAATGACATGCTTGAGATACTATCCCAGCTGTACACTGACGCTCGAGTTATACAATAATTTATGTGAATGCAATCTGAGACCATCTCATAGTTATATTTGACCTTTAAAAATGTCACTTTCCAAAAAGTGCTAGAATCATCTTCCATGTTTGTGGTAGAAAAAAAAGAACACTTTATCTGATTTAAACCAAACTAAAGTTGAACTTTATGAATAATGGTAGCATTGTAGTTTGTTTGTAATACTTTTGCTGGTGTATATAATAATAGGATTAAAAAAAACCATGTTCGTTAACTTAATGTGAATTCATGTAACTAATTTCAGTTGTCTCCTTTTAAAAAAATGTTCTTTGTCATGCAACCTTGCATTTTTAAAAGCAAAACTAGCTAAGTGATTAATATGGAGATTACATTTTTTGCACAATAGTGAAGTCACCATAAAAGCTGGTGGCTCCTACACTAAGAGTAGCTGTGCAGATTCGAGAGAGCAGCAGCTGCGTGTATAAGTTATAACAAACAGCTCTTTCCAGGTAATTCACCTGTAAACACTGCGGGAGTTTCTTGTAAGAGAAAAAAACACCAGCTTAATAATCAACATGCATTTGCCATTTCGCATGTGCTGCTTCCCTTTGAACATGCATACTTTACTTCTTCATAAGGAAACGAATACAGTCAGCTTACTCTGTCACCTTGCTATCTGATTATTTAGGGCAGCTCTACCTTCTCAGGCTCCTTTTCATCCTTTGAGTCCTGCTGCCCTTCCTTGTCTTCCTCTCGATTGCCATGGTCCTGAAATGGGAACAATATTAGTAAATGCTAATTACCAGGGACCCAGCTATTACTGTATGTTTTCATATACCAAGTGCTTTTCCTTTCTTTTAAAAAAGTCACATAAAGAGTGAGTTTAATCCCCAATAGAATGATAGAAAGCTGCTGCATTTGAAAATTCAAACAGTTAGAAAGACATGTAAGCTAGATATGGCGGCAAAGGCCTATAACCCTAGCACTTGGGAGACTTAGACAGAAAGATCACTCTGAGTTCTAAGCCAGCCTGGGTTATATAGCAAGACTTCATTTCAAATACAACAAAACAACAACAAAACCCAAAAGACATTATAATTAAGGAGTGCCAATCAACTAGAATAAGGTCACTGTGATCCAACTGTTATTTTGTCCCCTCCCCCCATTTTTCCAAACCCACATTTCTATCAAAGCCATAGAAATATTTTCAGTAAAAAGAAATAGTAAGTGAAGCAGTAAAATATTGCATCTCCGTTTTCTGAAGAATGTTGAATTTCAAAACCTCCCGTAAATGATTAAAGACAAAGATAGGCTGAGAACCTGATCAGGTTTGGACTGATCCTGAGACGCCGAGTCACTCATCTGACCACTCTAAAATGCCACCAAAGGGTACTGGGTACACCGACACGGTATTAATAACCAGCAGAGAGAAGGGAAACGTTAACAAGCAACACAGATACTCTGAAAGACCAAAGTCTCCGTCATCCCCAGCCCCCACCACACCCCAGAGTTCTACTGAATGTCGTGAATTCTCAACTGCTGAGCCTTTCAAGTTGCAGAGCTGTTATTACTGTTACTGACTGAGCCAGGGCACTGTTCCTCTGGTGGTCAGGGAGACAATGCCTCCATAGCAGTCATCACCCCTCTTTCTAAGCCGGGAATAACAATGCAATTGACTTTTTAAACATTGCCACCTTCATTAACTTTATTTTTATGAAACAAGGTATTACTATATAGCACAGGCAGGCTGCTAACTCCTGATCCTCCTGCCTCGACCCCCCCAAGCGCTGGGATTAGAGGCATGCTACATCATGCCCAACTTGTTCATTAATGTTTGAAATAGTAATTAAGGTAAGGCAAAGAATACCTTTGATGTCTAACTAATTAATATGAGAAAACTGGTCAAAAGCATCATAAACTGTTGGTGAGGGCAGATTTCTATGAGGAATATGATTTATTTGGCCCATTTACTCATAGTGAGGAATTACAATGATTTCCAGTTTTCCACGTCACTGGAAATGACTACAATCCCAGCAACAAATTATAAAATCATTGCTGTGCCAAATATCACGTTATATAGTATGATTACATATGGGTGAGGTGCTGTGCAAAGGGTGAATTATTGCTGGGTGTGGTGGCAGGGTGACTTCTGCACTCTCTGTACTCAAGAGGCTGAAGCAGGAGGATGACCAAGGCAAGGCCAGCAGGGGCTACACTGTGAGATCTTGTCTCAAAAAAAAGAAATTACATTCATGTGGTCTCTGCCTTCAGGGAAGTTAAAATCTAGGCACTCTGTGATTTAGTATAGTATGTAGATGACACCCTGGCGCATTCATTTTTTTTATCAACATAACACAAATTCCAGTGGAATAAACTAAAAGTATCGCCACTGGAGAGAATAGATAACATCAAAAAAAGCCTTTTAAAATGACTCATAAATAATAGAAAACAGAATTCTGTGCTGTCCTAACTGTATATTGCTTCCTTGTAGTTGTTCATCTCCTGAAACTGATAAGAAGTTTATTTCTTGTTAAGATCTATTTTGTTTGGCTATACTCAGAAAAATTCAACTCAACAACCTGGGGTTTGAAGAGTGAGTTTCCAGTTTAGTGAGGGGGAAACAGTGCCATTCAGTCTGCAAAGTTGAGGTGTACACAACACACTGAGGAACAAAGAGGAATAAATAGCTATTTTTCTTGGGGCAAAGAAACAAATTATTAGGATAAATATTAAAGGACTAGTTTAAAAAACTGTACAAAGGAGAGGGAAGAGTATTAGTGGCAGAAGAAGCACAGATTCAAGAGTAAAAAAGATGAGGCTTAAAAAGTACCTGTAGTATCCCGATGGTGTTAGCACACACCTTTAATCCCAGCACTTTGGGAGGCAGAGGCAGGTGGATCATAGTGAGTTCAAGGCCAGCCTGATCTACAAAAGGAGTTCCAGAACAGCCAAGACTGTTACACAGAGAAACCTTGAAAAAACAAAAACAAAACAAAACAACAACAGAAAAGACCTGTAGCCACACGCTGAAGAGATGGCTCAGCAGTTAAGAGTGCTGGTTGCTTTTGCAGAAGTCTGGGGCTCAGTTCTTACCATCCATATGGCAACTCACAACCATCTGTAACTTCAGTCCTAGAGGATCTGACTCTTCTAACCTCTTTGGGCACCAAGGCATGAACGTGGTGCACATATATGCTTGTAGGAAAAACATTTATACACATAAAAAATCATTAAAAATGGTAACAAACTATTATTTTAAAAGTTAATTCTGCCAGCAGCATTGAGTACAGACTATAATGTCAAAGATGTGAAGAAAAAACGAAGGTATATTTTGCATCTTAAATATTGCACCATCCCTTGCTGTAGTCTAGGCCTACCAGACAGTGTTACTGCCTGTTCTAGTTAGGAATATACTGCCGTAATGAAACACCATGACCAATGTAACTTGAAGAGGAAAAGGTTTGTTTGGCTTATGCTCCATCATCTTAGGAAGTTAGGGCAGGAACTCAAACAGGGCAGGTATAAGTAGGTGCTAATAATGTCCATGAAGGGGTACTGCTTACTGGCTTGCTCCTCCTGGCTCACTCAACCTGCTTTCTTATACAACCCAAGACCACCAGGCCAGGTGTAGCATCACCCACAATAGGCCTGGTCCTCCCCATCAATCACGAATTAAGAAAATGCCCTACAGCCAGATATTATTATGTTACACCCTAATCCCCTCAGGTCCTTCTCAGATAGTACTTGAATTGTCTGTCTTCCTCTATTTGTATTGGTGGCCTCTGACTGCAAGAACCTGAATTTTGTCAGGGCTTTTTGAAGTCTAAATACACACATATTAATATACCCTGGCCAGATATGCTCGCAGAATATATGCATGGGAGAAGCCCTCAGACAAAGATGGATAATCCCATGGGTGGGATATTTCTACTTATATGTCCTATTCTGTTTCCACACTTCTGTGGGGGTGTTAAACACAAGCTCTCCACTGCCTGCCCAATAAAGCATTTGTCTGACTTGCTCTACTACTTTGCTACATTACTTCCTAGCTGCTTACCATTGTTTCCTGGAACTATCTTCCAAATGAAAGTATACTCAAATCCTCAGGTCCAGGTCTTTTCCTGGGAATATCCCAACTAAAACAAGAACAATCATTAGGATTTGTAGCACAATTGAATCTGAAGATTTAATAGGAGAAGCAATCAAGAGGTAATTAAACATTCTTATTCAAAAAGCTGAATGGATGATAATGTCATTAAGAGAAATAAGGAAAAGAGAGAACAGATTTGAGAGATGAAACTCTATGCCTGGAAATGTACATTTAAGTTACTTGATTGATTGGCTAATGTAAGCTTCTAGTAGTCATCTGAAGGCCACTGAGATGTGTTAAGAGAAATTTTTAAACAATCAGATCCACTGGAAATGGACAGCAGCATCACCTTGCATTTCAGGCACCCAATGCTGTGGCGTATTACTTTAACTGTATAAAGGTATGTTTCTCTTGTTTATGCTGCATTTGTTTAATTATGTAAAAATGTGTTACTGTTTCACCTTGCCTGCCTCATTGGTCAAATAAAAAGCTGAACGACCAGTAGTTAGTCAGGAGAGGGATAGGTGAGGCTGCCAGATAGAATAAAGGATTTATTAGAATAAATTTAAGAAGGAGAAATCTAGGCTAGAGGGACACACCCAGGGCCAGAAGCCAGGCAGCCATCAGCCCAGACACAAAAAGCTGTGAAAGTAAGATACACAGAAGGAAAGAAAGATAAAAAGCCCTGAGGCAAAATGTAGAAGATGAGAAACAGGTTAAGTTATAAGAGCTAGCAAGAAATGAGCCTAAACTCAGGCCAAACATTCACTAAGTCTCCATGTCATGATTAGGGAGCTAGTTTGTGGTCCAAAAGAGAGTGCTTGCTACAACCTAATGTCAAGCCCTGCCCGAGATCCCAGAAGCTACTTAGATTTTTGGCTAGGAGACGAAATCTGTGGATATAGTTGAAGCCCCTCCATACTCACTCTAAATCAATTTGTAAGTTGGTAAATTGGAACACCTGTCATCTTGGTGTGTAGGACTGTCAATCAAATATGATAGAGCATCCTTAATTAAGGAGTTTCCCAGATTAAGAAAGAAAGCAAGCAAAAATCCTTGTGATTACCTTACAGCAATAGGTGACAAAGCTACCTTTTACTTAGATTCTTTTTGAATCTGGACAGAGGACGCAATTCTGGACAACGTTAGAAGTTCACCAAAGAGAGTAGTTAGGAGGGGCAGGAAGATTCGAGATAAATGCTTGGCGGCAAACAAGTGTCTCTAGGGAGATGACCCAGGCAGTACAATGCCTGCCACGCAAGCACAAGGATGTGAATTCAGTTCCATAATACTCTCACAAAGCCAGGCATGGAGGCATACATCTGTGACCCAAGAAGTGGGAAGATGGAGTGGATCCCCAACGCTGGCCAGCCTATCTATCTAGCCATAGATGAATTCTGGTTTCAGTGAAAGACCCGTCTCAGAAAGGAAGGTGGAGAGTGTCTGAGGTAGAGTCCAGGAAACTAAAGGAAATGAAGTCAACTCAATGTCAATAGTGTCATATGCTGAAGAGAAATAAAACATTAGAAGGACTGAAAATTAATCACTTGGCTTATTGGTAAAAATCACTTACGACCTCTACAAGAGGCAGTACTCTGAGTGCCTAATATACATTATTTAATGTAATCTTTTGGGCAGGTTTGTATTAGTAATTCCAATGTAATGCAGCAAGA